ACACATTTCTCAGCAATTAAATATTCCTGCAGCCCCTTACAAAAAAGTTTCGGAAAAAGGACACAATGAAAAAAACTAATTTAAGCACTTGAAAAATCACAAATCATTATCAGGATATTTATTTTATGATCGCTAACAAGATTCTGGGTACCTTTGGCCTACTTCAAATGCATCTTATCGAGCGCGACTGTAATTAAGGACGTTTTGTGTTCTATTGTAGATATATTTCCGCATGGGATATCATTCTCCAAGAAATGAGGTTTCTTCATAGGACATATGCCTGTACCCACTTTATTAGAAATATAATCAGTAGTAGCTTAATTCATCAGTTTTCAGAATTCGGGAAAGGCATGTACTGACACAGGGGAAAACGCTAAAGTAGTTCTCTGATCAGCCTCTAAAACTCTGAATTTCCTCAGGTATTCACCATTTGGCGACTTGCTTGGGATTTGAGTTCAATAACTTGAGTTCATTTAAGAATTTTTTCATGCTTAGCGTGCGTATATCGAGTTATGGATGCACGCGCGGGAAGTTTGGAGAGCACGAAAAATGCGTAAGAGTAGCTCGAGGCTAGCCGAGAGCAACTCTAGCTTTTGGAGTTGGTTTTGTTTCCCCTCACAAACTATCATCGGAATTGTTATTTTATGATCGCTCTTAAATTTCTGGGTGCAGTTGGATTAGTTCAAATAAGGCTGATCGAGCGCAACCATAATTTAGGAAGTTTCTTGTTCTGTTTAGATATCTTCCAGCATGGAATATCATTTTTCAAGAAATGAGGTTTCCTAACAGGTCTTCATATTGCCCGTATTCCTATATCCACTTTATTAGAAATATAACCAGCAGTAGTTAAATTCAATTACAGTTATAGGGAACTGAATATCTCTATAAAAAACTTTTCAAATCCGCAGGAGCTACTGAGTCATCTACCACCGTGATATATTGAGGTGTTTACCAGTGGTATTTTTGTTACTCCTCTGAGTTTGAGGTAAGATGATTCAGAGACGCTCGAATGTTGGGTCTGGATTTAGGAAGAACTGGTCAATTGGATTAGTACTCCTTCCTAGCCTCTCAATCATTTTTTCACATTAACATTGTAAATTTAGGGTATACCGCAATATTTTTTTCACAGACTCTTCAACAGAAATTAAGGATGCGTAACACATTTTTAAATTCTCATTTTCAGTTGTTGCACTTCAAGTGTTTTGACTTGCTCATTTAAAATTGTCTTCTCACTAGGCTATGGGTGTCACAAGGCTGATTGTTTTTTATTCTTGTCTCGTTCTTATTTATTTTTTTTTTCTTCTTCCCTTTGTGTAAAGGAGAGTGATCAGAGGAAAACACATATCTGAACACTGGACTGCAGAGAATATTCTTGACTTGATTACTAGACTGGTTAAGAATGAGGGGGAAATCGAAGCTGAACATTCAATACAACAATGATTCCTTTGCTAAATTTCCTTACAAATTCTTCTTTCATAATCTATTTAGCGAACGAATTTTCCTAAACCAATAGACGGTTCAAAGAGCCTTTTTCTAGTCCAGGTGTTAATGCAGCTTTATTAAGATAAGACCCATACTAGAAAAAGTTCTTTGAAACGTTTTTTCGCATATTGAATATGCGATATCACCCACGCATTCAAATGTCTGTTTTGAAGGTTGGATTCCATGCGTTCCTCTTAAAACAATATTGAGAAAGACTCCAAACTTACAGCAGGTACAGCTGGGTATTGTTGCTGAAAATGCCTGATGGTAAATTCCTCAGCTGGTTGTTTTTCAACTGCCTATCAGAAATAAGTTAATAAATTTTCAATTGCATGGTATACCACAACAAAGTTCTGAGAATAAGAGGCTAGAAAAAAACTTGTTACTTTTTTTAGCATGCTCTGATATAAGGGCCTAAAATATACAAGATATAAAAAGAAGTTTGAAAGGGGAAAATATTGAGCTCATAATAGAGAATGTCTGGAATAGAGAGACTTTGGCAAAGAAGAGAATAGGGAAAATTTTGTGGTGTTACGACTGTTTGACACACGGCACAATCTGAGTTTCCATAAGGGAAATTTAATATTTGAACATACGCAGAGGCGACCTCTTCGAACTGTGCCACTGAGGTAAGACCTTATGTGTAAGTTTGTCAGTTTTTCCTTAGGTTTTTAGCCTTAGTGGAGGGAGACAGGTGGAACAGGGGGGACAGGGGGGAGAGACACTCGTATTTTGTTTATAACCGTTTATCATCCAGTTTTAAGACCAGTTCCTATTTAACTTCCACCGATGCGTTACAGATACTTTCCTGAGCGAGAAAATATAAGTTTATTCTAAGGCTGATAAAACAGCATTCGTCATCATCAAATTGGATATCTATCGAATTTGGTTACACTATTGGTCATGAATGAAGTGACATAAACTGTGTACAAATTGGTCAGTGTCTCGCGAACTGTTGCAGGCAAAATTCTTCAGCACAAAGCGAGTCGAGTCAAATGACTTTAAAAGCTCCATTGATCAGTCTCAGAATCGCATAAGTGAATAAAATTTCGCATTCTGATTGGTCAACGAAGCGAAGTATTTAGCGTGGAATTGCCAGTTGAAAACGAGGCTAAGTGGTATTGTTTCGCATCTGCGTAAACATAACATATATCGTCAAATTGTAACAAAGTTTTCTACAATGTCATTTTAAAGTTTTTTAAAAACCATTGTCAACTTTTGAAGAGCCAAAAACAAAAAAAACAACGTTTTTGAAAGTGAGTCAGAGGCTCTTCCCTGTTTCGAAATGAACTACAAATTCTTGGAGAGGCATGAAAACGAGAAAATCCTGTGAACACGGTCCAGAAAATGGCAAGCGAAAGACAACCACAAAAGACAACGTAGCGACAACGGAAGAAGTGCCAGGGTCGATTGTCATATATATAGAAGAAGAAATAAATACCTTTCATCGCGATTTTAAACTTTTCGTGCTTTTGCTTGAACACTATATTTCGTTCAGTTTTGCCACCAAAGAGGCAAAAGGTGTAAATTATTTTCCTTCTCGAGTAAATGATTTGGAAATTCGAAAAAAGATATTAAAGATAAACGGCTTGTAAACTTGTAATTTGCTAAAAGCTTTTGGTTAGGAACGAACGAGGAGAACACTTTGAACGCCAAAAACAACTGCAAAAATTAAACTTTTCTAACAATATCAATGTCACCGATTGCTCCGTTTTAGGCGTTTTAAAGAGAAGACCTTCAGAATCTCCCCACTAAAGCTTCTCAAACTACTCGCCAAAATCAGGGGAAAACTTGGTATGTTCTTGCTTCAAGAAAATTGCACCAGCAAACTAAATGCATTTTCCTTTAGATATTTCTGAGAATCTTATCTACATGATATATGAAGAAAAACAAACCCTTCGAAAGTAGATGTGCACTCAAGATTTATGGCAACTCCGTTTGCTGTCCGCAATTTCAACTTTCCCTTGATAGTTTTTGTCAAGTTTAAGCATTCTAAACACTTTTGGAAATTTTAACAACGACTCCAAGGCAATTTTAGTCCAAGCTGGGACAACTTTAATAAATTTTGTTAAAGGAAAAGAGCGTTCCGCGAGTTAACAAAATAGCTGGACGACGTTTGAATCAGTACACACGACACATGGCTCGATATTGTTGTCTTTCGATTTCTCCGCCTTCAGACGTGGCGCGGTCTAGCAATGGTTTTAACGAAGTCAAAGTTAAATCCTACAACTGAATTTATTTCTCGTTATAAAATAGTTCCGCAAGTTAGTAAGAGCGCTTGTCTGTAAAAATTAAACATATCGCGGCAAGGGTGGAAAATTCGATTTCTTCCTTATTTTAATGTTAAATAGGCTAAGCTATAATTAAAATCACTGGATACTTTTTTTGGCAAAATATCTTTTTATTTCAAAGAAAAATGCAAATAACGAAATTCCGTTAAAATCGTCATTTTCAGCAGCAATCTTCACCATGTGCTAAACCATCAAATGGATTAAGCTTTGGGTGGTTCTTAATATAACTGTAAAAATTTGTTTGGGCAAATGATTGAGAGCGATACAAAAGCTTTTCAAAGTCCGTTAAAATGCAGTTATTTGACCTTTTGCAGTAAACATTCCAGTCGCGAGTGGCACATATTTTAATATGTTTCAACCCATATGAGGCCGAAAAATGTACATAGAAACGTATTTCCAAATGCTCTAACCTCATTTGCCGCAGAAGGCTGATCTAGAGACAATTTTAGTGTGATTCTCTTGTCGTTCGTCGTATTTAGGTCTCTAAAATGATAACGTCCGATGACCAACCCTGTCGAACACCATCTTGTTGTCAAACGTTCGATATCTTTCTTCACTGTGACATCTTATTCAACGGTTCAGTTGACGGCGAGTATTGCTCAGTTTACAATGCACTAAAAGATTACATCTGAGAGTCTAACTGAGTGCTGAATTGACTACAAACATGTACGCCCCTTGAGTATTTGGATGGTCACGCAATGGATGGGCCATAGACAGTTCAAGGTCCCCTATTTTTTCGTGTAATTGTTGGGATCGATCATTTTCGTCCGGCGCCACATTGATTTCATATGGCAAGAATACGAATCGTCTGTGGAATCGGGGGTTGGGGAGGTGGGAGGCAACGGCTCTACCCACAGGCAATTTGCACTCTCCCAAGCTTTGGCTCGGAATACGAAATCAACATGGCGGCCACTCGCACAAAGGCAGCCGACCCCGACAATGCGGACAGTCTAGGTGGGTCAATAAGAATTAATACGGTTTAGTTATATCTTACTAAATAATCCTAGCCATTTTCATCTTACGTTTAGGCCATTATTTCTGTTCGTTCAGTAGTAAACACAATCGCTGTTGCTTGCTCGACATAACGCACTTTCGGACTGGTTTTCTGTTCCTTGATTTCTCACCTTAAAGTAGAGTTTTGCAGCCGCAGCTGTCAGCTAAAGTCGCCAAGAGGTCTATGTAGGGCTTCTTCCGTTTAATGCTCATTGATGGAATGTCAAACTGATATTAATTGCAGATGTCCTGCAGCATCTGTACAAAGAACTTTGAGAGTTTCGAGCATGCAACTAACTCAAAAATTTTACGTGTATCATACATGATTGGATGTTGAAGGCACATTTCTACCACGACTTTAGTGCTTAAATCTTACTGCTTAAATACTTAGTTCTTGCATTCTTTCAGTCTCTCCCTCATATTCATCTTCATCCTCTTCATATCGATCTGGAACAACTTTCTTTGCGGCAAGGCGTGAAAAAGAAACTTGGAACTTGCTGTGAAGTAAGATAGCTTGAAGCATCGAATGTAAAGGAGCCATGTGCGTTTCTAACCTTTCTCATTAACTTAGAGACATTATTGGAATCAGCTTTGCGCCCAGTCTGTTCGCCGGTTTGAAAGACATCAGTGAGATATTGTTTCTGGCTTTCCGTCATCTGCAATGGCGGAGAGAAATCCAATGACTGAGGTGTTCCCGTATCTTCAATAGACGCTTCGACTGTAGCAACACCCTGTTTTAGCTTTTCGGCATACGTCATCTTGCTTTGTCAAAAAGCGTTTCATGCTCTAAAATGTACCAGTGTCGTTTAGCATCAAGATGGGGTTGGAGAGACGAAAATCTTCGAAAGGATTTTACACATCCCTCTTCAGGACATGAAAACAGTTTATCGTGGCACTCTGTTTCTTCGTCATCCGATTGATCTAAAGCTTCCGCCTTACCCAATGCCAATTGCTCTTTTCCTTACTGCGTTTGTGCCCATTTTTTTCCTTGGTGTGAGTGCAGTAAACGTAGCTTTTGGAGAAGTTGCATCCTCAAGTACGTTACGCACTGGTGCGGAGTGGCGTTCTGGGAGTGATTCTATGGTAGAACTTTACCAGGGCCAACTGTATATGATCTCCAGACTCTCATTCCGTCGCTGCCATATTCAATATTATTGATAAAGCTCACGCCTTCCCTTTTTACAGCCACGGGCTTAAGAATATCTTTTGAACCGCACAACATGACTCTTACTCCAGGTAGGTCCACCAGAGGACACCATGGCACTCTTCATTTGCTCGGCAGTCTCGATATCATGACCAGAGTTTAGGAATCTCCTCATGTGGCACTTGATGGTGGCTGCTTTGCGGTCACACGAACCTTTGCCCCATTGTGGATCAGATAAGTCCACTGTGATGTTGATGTCAGACTTCTTTGCTACCTGCTCAATTACCAGTAATATGGACGCACTGTGGTAGCATCCAGCATTATCCTGTCTGAAGTGCACACGACGTAATTCAGGTATTGTTGCTTTGAGCTGTTTCAGGACGCCATCTACAATAGCCAAAACTGTGACGCTGTCTTGATTACAGCTTTGAAAAATATGCACAAACGTCCTCATTTGTAGTTGACTTTTGGACTTTCTCATAGCAGTGGCTATATGCCAAGAAATTCCTCTCTTTCCAAACCAATCAGTTTGACTCTCACGATATTTCCTTGGGAGCTATTTCATGGCCCAATCCATGACTAAAAGTACAGAATGAGCGTCCAAAGTGTTGATGGCATCCAGTCTCGCCTCATCTTGATTGATCGATCGGAGCAAGTGAGCTTCCCATGCTTCAGATCTTTTCTTAGCCAGAGAAACCACATATTTCATTTCTCGTCAGTTGAAATTTCAACATTTTCCAGAGCTGACTCAATTTCGCAGACAACATTTGTTAATAAGTCGCATCGATCACATGTAATATCGTGATCATGACAACAGGCGCTAACATAATCCGTGTCTCCCTGATAGCTATGGACGAAGGCCCAACAATTGTCTGGAACTCTGGAACTTGGTTATACATGCACCTCCAAACGACAAGCAATAGCACAATTTATTCTAAAAATGTTCCACCTGGGATTTATGTACACGTACTTTTGATACATCACAGCACAATAATTCATTTTTTTTCGATTCAATTACATCTGATTTCATCGAAATCTAATAACAAGCTGACAAAAGAACTTTTATTCTGCTTTAAACTTACATACACCTTCCTTAAAGTCACCTTTAAGATACCGTTTTACAAGCTTTAATTTCTCATTTTGGTCTCTTGCCCGGCAGAGCCCTTTGCGATGGTTGCCCCCCAGTTTGTCAATGACATCTGCCAATTCGTCAAAGGCCTTTGCTCCCTCTGCTGACACGTTATTGAGTCCTTGAAAAGACGCGCACAGAGGCCGGACAAACTTTAAGAATCCTACACAATGTACTGTGGCTCATTGGAACAAACCCAGTCTCATGACAGTAACTCTGGTAGTGTTGGACAATCTGCTCTGGGATCATGGTCCTCACGATGTTTGGGATCTTTAACTCGGTGTTTGAGGACAACTTCAAGGTTTTCCTTCCGAATGGCAAATCCTGCATTACATATGCACTGGTGATAAATGTCAAGAAGTGGTCAAGCTTCAGTGGTAAGACTTTCATTCTCGCGTCGTTACTTGAAGGAACAGTTGAGCCTCTTCCATGGAGTAACACATGGTGCCGCGCAATGTTGTATCTACATCTGGACAGATTAGGGATCCATCTTTTGACTACTTTAAAGCTGACCTTATCAGCCATGATCGACAGCATCTGTCGGCGGGTACTCCAGTGACCTGCATTTTCATAGCACTCGACAAGTACACCCACCAGCGTAGAATCGACGTCGCATTCGTCTTCTTTACATGATTGTACGGAATCCAGCAATATATCTGCACACTGTGGTGCTATTTCTTCCAACGCTGCAATTACAACTTGCCTTGCTTTACCCGTGTGAAATCGTTTTGTTCTTTCTGCAGCTTCATCCCAGGGCATAATCATTGAATAACGGATGGGACTTATGTCCCTGGAAGTCAAAAAGGAATTGAGTTTTTCTCTACTGCTACTGCATGGTTTATTGTTCTCTCCAGATGGAGTTGTAAAACCTTCAGAAGGCTGGTAGATACTTGGTGATGTTTCAGCATGTGTTATTAAACTTTGTGGTGTTTGTGATATTCCAGCCACTTGCTTAAGGTTGAAAGTTACCTCATCATCATCCTTAGAAAGTAAAGCAATTATTTTTTTTTACCTTCCCGATTAGCACCATGCACTAAAACTATAAAGATTAAAACTGTGTTCTCAAGCCAGCGCAAGCAAATTAACTTGCGTTATGCAAACGCAGCCAATAAAAAAAAAGCAATATGGATTTAGTAGTGGCTTGTTTTATTTATGAGGTTCTGTATAAAAAAATAACTATCAGCAGATTTTCAAAGGTTGGACTTTTATATTGATCTTATCAGTCTCGTACCCAGACCTGTGCTCGTTCGGAATGATCTATGCGATAAATATAATAAATAAATAATATATTATTTATATAAATATAAATAAATAAATAAATATAAATATATTATCCACTAGGGATGGATCACTAAAGATGTTATTACGAATGTGTGATCTAAAAAGAAAACAAACAAATGGATGCCGAACAGTAATATCCCTTGCGGATGACACACGTATGTCACGTAATTTCTCATTGCTCTACATACAATCGAAACAACAGCTGATCAATCAAGCAGTTAACGAGAAGCAATTTTAACTTTGAAAGTCGAGATGACTTGCATCACTTAGTGACATTGTGAATAATACTCACCAACGTCATTCTTTCTCGCACTTCAGTATCTATCATCTCCTTCAGTCTCTCTTTACACGTACTGCATACACCTGAATGATGAAGAAACGCAGTTAGGTGACCATCCGTTAGCTGTCCAAATTTAACATCCGCATAGACCATAATAGTAAACAAAAAACAGCAAATAAAACTTACCCGATCCAACTTGTACAAACGAACCATTCTTGCGTAAGATCACCTCAGATTCCATTTTACCCAGTTCTCTTTCACCTTTTGCCCCCCTTCCATTTACCATGGTTGGAAATTCTTTCCGGAACCGTGCACCTTGTGCTGGATCTTCTGGTCCACCCCAATCCAAGTTTTGCGCGATGGTTGGGACATATCGTCACTGTACTCAAGCGTTCCTTACAAGTAAACATTGACGCTCGGCACAAAATAAGGCCGATCTCACCTTCAGGACCGGTAAATTTGAAAGCCGACTTATGACTTGAGATATTCTTGGTGCATGAAAGTAAAGGAACAGTTTCCGTTTCACACTTTCGATCTCTAATGTTGTAACCACAAACTCCGCCAATAAGCGACTTGAACGAACAGCAACCTTCGATTCTTTATGTAACAGAGTTAACCATGTGAGTCAGTGTATTTGTGAAAAACAAAGTCCGAAGCCCCGCCTCTAAGCAAACAATGGGCATGGTGTAATTACCATAAACCAGGTTTTGTTTACTTAGGCTTGCTATTTTTAGCAGGTACTAAATTTAGCTTTTTAACGACTATTAGCCAAAGGCCCGATCTCCGCGTACATGTTAGAGATTTCGATGTTCACAACAACGAAAAAGGTGAGCAGCAGAGACGTCTTTTTACTTTCCCATTCCCCTACCCCCTAAAAAATAACTTTCCATTGTATGATTTGCATTGCGTGACGACTATCCGTATACAACACTACGTTGGCTGCAACAAATGTGTAGTGCCACTTTTAAAAGCATCGATAAGGTCTACTGCACCACAAACCGAACAAAACTCACAATCAACTGAACTGCTGGATAAGATGCCACACTGCAGAAAGATGTCAAACGTTTTACAACGAAGGTTGGTGACAGTTCACAGACTGACAGGCAGTTTCATCGGACGTTATAAGTACAAGATAACTACAGTAAAATGGCCTTTGAATCTTTCTTCTACGGCAAATGAGGTTAGAGCATTTGGAAATGTGTACTCATGTACATCTTCCGGCCTCATATAGGTTGAAACATATTAAAATATGTGTGTGACTCGCGACTAGAATGTTGACCGCAAAAGGTCAAATAAGTGCATTTTAACGGACTTTGAAAAGCTTTTGTATCGTTCTCAATCATTTGCAGTACAGCACTATTGAGTACATCTTTTCGTAATTCTACCGCCAAAAGCTTAATCCATTTGAAGGTTTAGCACATGCTGAAAATTAACTTTACTCACAAGGTACTTTTACTGAAGAGAAATGTATGCTTTCGAAATTAAATTATTTCACACGCAAAGAGGAACGTAGTGCTTACAAAAATCGTTTTGTGAGGTCTCGTGAGGTTGAAAAAGAAGATTTGATTGTTAAAAAGACGATATAGCGATTCGTTTTTGAACGTTAAGCCCTCAAACTTGAGCAATAATTTGCTGCTGAAAACACAGGCGGCCCAAGCTCCAGCTGTGAGATGATCATCTTGCGCAATAACAGTCATGGCGGAATTATAAGAGTTTGTTTGGGCATATTTACGACCGCCCTCAGGAATAAAAAAATAAGTCAAATTCTCAAAAAAATACCCCACCTTACTTCCACAGTGTATCATTTGTTATCTGACCGCTTACTTTGATGAAAAGAGCCCATTTTAGCGAGTTGTTCATTTCGAGGTTTTCAACGTACATAAGAAAAGCCCAAGGCTGAACACTCCATTTCCGAACGCCTGATCTGAGAAGCGAAAAATCCAAGCTCAAAATGACCGGGCGACCACAAATCCAACGCAGAATCCAAGCAAATATACTGTAGTTTCATTTCAAGTCCCTAAAAAATCAATCTTCCTCGCGCAACCGACACTAAGCCGCAGTTTGCTTCAAAAATTTCCAGTTTAGAGGTTTCTAACAGCCCGCGGCCACATCAACCTTGACACACGTTGAAAACCAGCTTGGTAACCCTACCTCCTTTTCGAACTGAGCCTCGCCGGGGACCATACCATCAGTTATCGTCAATAAATTGTTTTAGAACCACAGGTCCCCTCAAAAAAATCGATCAAGAGGCTATTGTTTCGATCGACCAATCGAATTCGCCTCCGGAAATGTTTACATTTACAAATGTGATTTTTTCCGAGTCAGAGGAAAATCTTGGAGGGATTTATTCCAGTATTCAATTTAGTTCTATCTGGACATACTTAGTTTAATTTTGCCAACAAGACAACTGTTATTTCGTTGCGTCCGCATGGATATCCGGCAACAATTTGCTGCTGAAAATGATGATTTTAACGGAATTTTGTCATTTGTATTTTTCTCTGAAATAAAAAGATATTTTGCCAAAAAAAGTATCCAGTGATTTTATTTATAGTCTAGCCTAACTAACATTAAAATAAGAAAGAAATCAAGTTTTCACCCTTGCCGCGTAATTTAGAAATTGTCTGATTTTTACAGACAAGCGCTCTTAAGGTTGCATGACACATTTTGAAATTCTCATTCTCAGTTGTTACACTTCAAGTATTTTGACTGGCGTATTCAAACTGAGCTCTCACTGCCTTAAGGATAACCTTAAGCTCACTTGACGTTGACCATGTAAGATGTCTTCAATAATGTCTCTTATAATACCGATATATTTTGCTCATGAGAGTCGCCAATAAGTTTCTTTAATTCTTTGTAACAGAGATACTTTATTTCTTTTAGGAAATTGGAAGAATCGAGTAATTTTTACGCACATAGTTTGTCATAGTATAATTGAAGCATTATTGATTTCCGTGATTCATCCTGTTTCTTCTTGTTTGAATAATTTTTTCATTCTGTCATAAACAGTTATTGGGCTCCCGCCGTACTTTACCCCCGACTCTTTCGGCCATGCTCCCTTGAAAGGTCTTGAATCAACAAGAAGAGAGAAGAGATTTTATTTCTTTTTGTCTCGTCTTAGAAATCGGAAGGAGCTCATTTCATCTTCTGAAAATTTTTCATTTACAATCTACTTTGCAACAAAGCCTTGTTTCGTAATTTACTAATATTTTTCTCGGATATATTCTAGACGTGTCACCTGACCTAATAAGTGAGTAGTATCTTGTGACATTATCAAACTAAGTTTCTCCAAATTCAATGCCAAATCTTTATGACTCCTGTTTTCATACCTACATCCACTTTATTTCAGCAAGATATCAGTTAAAGCTGGTGTTTATGTGGTCAAAAGGATATCTTGGTCAATTTTAAGAATCATGCAAATGATCTTTGACACGAGCACAATAGAGCAAACACATGGTTTGTGTTGTTTTAAGAAGTTGGAGGATGGAAGCTAGAGATAAAGCCGCGGGTTTGAGGCAATCCATGACCTCATTGGTGTATAAACTATGCATCGATATGTTTTTTTCAGCGCGATTAACGCCTGCATTTTGAGAATTCTTTCGTACAAAGTAGTGAATCTTTGATATGCAAATTAAGATCAAAGAGAAGGGTCTCCTCTGATCACGCTGGTTTGAAAAATATTTCAGCTGAAGTTTCCATATTTTGTCTGTGAACTAACTGAATACATCTTATTACTTGTAGCAAGGTAGAATTCCGTGAGTTACATTGTTGCAGTCGCTGCGCGCTGGACAAAATCTTTGAAATTTTCACTTTCGATCGCTGTTCACAGGGTTGGTCTGGCCAAAAATCATTTTTGGCTTGTGGCGACGCAAAAAAAGAGAATTGGAGAACAACTAAACTATTTTTGAAACACGTGTCCGAAACCCCTTTCAGGGAAAAAAATTAAAGAAAACTTTTTTGCGACGGAAAGTCGAGAGGGCCGCTCTCAGCGAGAGCAGCACTTAAAATCATCTCTTTGTGCCATATTATCTCACTTTTTTTGTAAGTATAACGAGTACGTTTCGGTAGTCGGGTATGGTTAAAACTAAGGGAAAAACAAGTTTCAGCGGTTCCGAAATCATTGAATGCGAATGTAGACATACTTCAGTTGAATTATAAAGCTTTTTGACGCGAATATGTCGCAAGGAAGTCGACGTTTAACTAAAAACATGAGGCCTTGATTTTCTGTAAACTTTGTTATACGAAAATAACTTTAGTCCATACGATGTACTTTTTAATTATTTTCCTTGGATTGTATGGTTTGCCCTGATTTCTTAAATTTTCCAGCAAATTTCCAACTGCAGGTCATATAGTTAATTAAGAATCGTGACCGGCATTCGTGCTCTTGCAATTTCTAATTAAGTGTCAACATCCATGGATCCGTACTCTGAGACCTGCGTTGAACATGACCGAACGCTGAGGTTTATAACTCGGGATCACTTAATTTTAAATTCACTTTTACTACAAGACTGCACCGTTTTAGGTGTTTTAAAGTCAAAGACCTTTAAAAAGCCTCGACTAGAACTCCTCAAACTACTCGCCAAGAAGGGAAAAACTCGCTATGTTCTTGGTTCAAGAAAATTGTACCGACAAACTAAATGCATTTTCCTTTACATATTTCTGAGAATCTTATGTACATGATAAGTAAAGAAAAACCCTTCACATGTAAATGCGCACTCAAGATCTATAGCAATCTGTCCGCGATTTCAACTTTCACTTGATAATTTTTTCCAAGTTTAAGTGTAGAGGGGCCTGGATATCTCGATAAAAAACTTTTCAAATCCGCAAGAGCTAGTGAGTCATCTACCACCGTGATATATTGAGGTGTTTACCAGTGGTATTTTGTTACTCATCTGAGCTTGAGGTAAGATGATTCAGAGACGCTCGAATGTTGGGTCTGGATTTAGGAAGAACTGGTCAATTGGATTAGTACTCCTTCCTGGCCTCTCAATCATTTTTTTCAGATAAACATTTGTAAATTTAGGGTATACCACAATATTTTTTCATAGACTCTTGAAGAGAAATTAAGAGTGCGTAACACATTTTTAAATTCTCGTTTTCAGTTGTTGCACTTCGAGTGTTTTGACGCACACATTTAAAATTGGCTCTCACTTTTTGACTTGGCTACAGGACTCACAAGGCTGATTGTTTTTTGTTCTTTTTTTTTTTCTTTTTCTTCTTCCCTTTGTGTAAAGGAGAGAGATCAGAGGAAAACACATATCTGAACACTGAACTGCATAGAATATTCCT